ACGATACTTTCGACTGCCAAACCTGACGTCATAATTTTTGTGCCGAAGTTACTTTCTGTAGGCTCGCTTCGGTCTCGTGATCAGCACATCTCAACCATGGCGACAGAAGAAAGCTGTGCGGGTTCTTTCCTACCCATGCGCGCGTGACGGTACAAGTGAAAACATGCGGCTGAGAAGGAATGACGCCTGCAGAGAATGTTGGAGCGCCGTCATGGAGGTTGATGCCATTATAGTTACTGCATAGGGACGTTTCGACTTTTTTAAAAAAATACTGGCTTGACGACAATGCTGTTGCAGTCTGTGCTGGGGGGACACGATCTATCGCCCGACAATGACGGTAGAGCAGTGTAAAAGGTCTTCCAAAATCATCGACAAACGCTTATGAGTTCTCGTTGAGGGGCCGTCCGCGCTGACCCTGTGCTCCTCAGTCAGAATTATATCCAGACATCAGGGCGTCCTCACCCTGGAAAGACCACCGTCAGTCTTGGAGGTTGAATGTCTTACACAGCATCTGAGGGGACTGGGCCCGCGGGAATCAACACGTGTAAAAAGTTTCCTCCATCTGATTTCTTAGTCAACCAGTTTTCTGTCTGCCGTGAACTCTGGTGTAATTGGAAACGCCTTTGTATGAATGAGACTTCATTTTGAGCTGCGTTCTTGTTTATTAAGACTGTGTGCAATCGGCCTTTTTCTTGTCCATCAATCACCGTATTTTGCCATTTCTGCTGTTAAACTCTTCCTGGCGCTTTCGACCCGGCAGGTTTGAGCGCTCCCTTGACAGTGGCGGGGATGACTTCCAACTGCGGGGGACGTGTTCCTCCGTCAGGGTTTTAATTTGGCACATCGTGGTTCGAAATGGCATTACCGACAAAGACAAGGGAGACCGGAATGGCCACTTCTGGTTTATTAGCCGTCGTCAGCAAGTCATACCCAATCCCGAAGTGTGGAACACCCGAGGCTCGAACTCACGACCTGTTAGTTAGAAGTCCACGCCTCTAAGTACTGGGCCACGTGCCCGTTGCCCTGTCGGTTTCTGACTTCTAACGAACAGGTCGCGAGTTCGAGCCCTAGGTGTTCTACACCTCGGGGTTGGGTGCGATTGGCTGACAACGGTTAATAAGCCACAAGTGGCCATTCCAGTCTCCCTTGTCTTTGTTCGTAATAAAATTCTGCCTTTATCATGCACCGCTGTGCGCCTGCTGGTTGGGCTCGAGAGAGAGAGCCCCTAAGGCACACCGGAACGAGTGAGTTCCGTAAGAACGATCGGTGAGCGCCCCCTAATATCGTGGTTCGTTGAAGAGTTCACGCCCGGATTCGACCAGAGCCACTGCTGCCGTGTCCAGCCTCATCGGCTATATCTGCGGTTGAATTTGCATCATCTTGGGGGACTAGCTGGCGACAATCGGTCCACCGCTGGACGCCTCCTCCGCTCCCCTCCTCCCCGCCTTTGTCACGAGCACGTAATCCACCAGTTGCCGTTGACAGATCCGAAAGCGTATTTATGTTGTCTTCTCTGCGATTGAGAGGCCATGTTCTGCACATAATATCTCTGCAGAAGCAGTTCGCCACCGTTGCAGTGATCCGTCCCAGGACGACAAAGCAGACCTCCGCAGATAGCGTGGTCTATGCGCACTCGAGCGTCTACCTCCAGGAACAGACGCAACCAGGTCGTGCAGATGTTCGTTGGACTTCCCCCTCGCGCCGTAATTGTATCCCATTGAATTGGCTTAGACGCTGGTAGATTTCTCTCTTGAAAAGTCAAGTTGGCAAACACGTGTTTTCGGTAATTCCTCGCCAGGCCAATACGGTTAAATGAAGGAATGAAAATGTACAAACGGTGTTTATAGGCGTCTCAAGGGCTATTAAGTCATTAACACTCATCTTCCCCACGCCGCCCGCATGACGAGGTCGGCGGGTTTTGGCCCTTAGAGCTAGGGGAGGGAGGTAAGAGAGTCTTTGAGTGATGTTCCTGGATTGAGTGCATGGAGTATCCATCACTGTAATTAAGGATTTGAGGCGACATGCCGTCATCACTTGTGGTTGGCGTTGGCCACGACAGAGAGAGCGCTTGTGTCAGGCCTTTCTGACAGCATAACACCGGATTCGCTAGCCGTATAACCACTGCCTCGGTAGTTGCCAGTATCCGTTGGCGTAGGCCTTTAGAGAAGCTTGTTGGTGTCCGATAGACAGCCGCCCCAGTAAAAGGTGCAACTTGCACTGACCTTATTCAGCTGCTTTTCTTCCGAGAAGTGGGCCTCACTGAGTTCGACGACGTTCACGCTGTAAAGAAACAGTTCTGGGGGTGAGCAAAGCCGTCGACTGTCTGCTAAAATACTCAAAAGTGAACGTACGTCCTAGGTTGCCGCGGTAAGCGGGACCGCCTGCTTAGCGTCCACGACCAACATCCAGCAAGGGATCTAATTTCATCCCAGCGAGGCCGTAAATAGCGCTTCCCTCAGTAGACGCCTCAAGTAACTCAACTCACCGTGAACCGCGACTTTAGTTTATTGGGAAAACCACTTGAATTGACCTAAATCACCTGCGCGTCACCTTGTGTGGTTTTGAGGTGTTTGGGCTGTTGGACTCTACAACGAGGAAGCACGCGCACGCGAGTGCACGTTTGCGATTCATGCGACAAAAGCACGCGGATTTTCGAACTACACGGTCGTTGCCTCAACGGAAAGGCTCGTTTTATCGACCTCGCTTTCCAAAAGCAAGCCGGGATTGTGCTCCGGACGTCATAAAATTAAAGTGGCCAATGAATGCCCTTGAAGAAACTTCGCTTCTGTCTGCATTCGCGGTGGCAAGAAAAGGTTTTTACCAGGAGCCTTACTAGCAATGACAGGACCCGGGTTGCCGTTTGTGGCTTCTTTTCCGTCGTCAGCTGATCCTACAGCAAACTCTGGCGTGGCAAAACTGGGGCTTTAGTCCAAATCCAATTGATATTTTAACTCAACCAATGGAGTCACCACCTTGCGCACCCTTCACTCTGATTGGAAACATTCAAGGTCATGTTGGAGTTGCCGCTCGCCAACCCGACTTGACCTGAGGGTAGAATACGGACGCTTAAACGTTGCCTTTGCACCGCCATTTAAAACTCTGGAAGGCTGTCGTTTTTGTGATGAGTAAGCAATAGTCTATCCGTTTCTTGTCGACAATGGTAGAAGAGTAGTGAATGACCGTTTCTGGCACATTTGACGTCCCAGCTCTTCAAATTTCCTCAGAAATCAATCACTAACTTGAAGTAAATCAGTCTATTTGAGACTTATAGGCTCAGTCTGAATTTTTGTATGAATATTTAGGTCGAAATCCATCAGCCACCGCGGAATAACCGCGTAATATTCATAAACGTCGCGGAACCCACTGATGAGCCGAACCTCTCACAGCTGCACCATGCAGCGGCAAAATATCGGCGAAACACTTGCCTGGGCTTTTAGCTAGCACCTGTTCTGTCAAGTTTGCTATATCGTGCTACCTCAGCATTTGACGTCGTCAGACAACAACACGCCGTCTGTGCGGCAGTTAGACCAATCCGATAAGTACCGCTTCCCCGAGGAGTTTTTCTTCGCAAGGAAGAAGAACATGTGATCACTGGAACGATATTCGTGCTATTCTCAGCTATCGGACTCCTACAGGAGCCCATTTCCGTAGGGTGCAACAACAATTGAACAGTTTCTTGCAGTCTGACAATGATGGAGGAGGTAGGCCGTGTCCGTGGCTGAAGTTCTCGTCCCGTTTCATTGCCGACCGTGTCAATATCCGCGTCCTCGCAAAGTCTGATTCCATTTCGTCCCCTACAAACGACCTGTATAATGGCAGAAGATCAGTTATGCTATTGACTGGATCCTCGGGAGGGCCCTACGCGAGAGAAACGGCGTTGAGTTTGCACCCGGACATCGACTGACTGATCTCGACTATGCCGATGATATCGCCTTACTTGCTTCAAGTTTTGGTGATCTGCAGTCTATGCTGTCACGGGTGAACAAGGTCGCCCAATCGGTCGGTTTATCCAGAAACGCTGGGAAGGCCAAAGTGTTTTCAAGCTGCTTCCCTGACCTGGAGAAGGCACCCCTCGGGATTAATGGCTTTCAACTTGAAGAAGTAGACAGTTTTAAATACATCGGGGTGAGGTTGCTGCCTACTGGACAAAGTAAGGACGACATTGTCTCCCGAATCGATGCTGCCCACTGGGTTTTCTCAAGCCTTCGGAAATGCCTATGGATCCGACCTGACCTATCCATCGCTATTGAGATTCGTGTGTACCGTGCGTCTGTCCGGTCTGTCCGGTCTGTCCTTCTCTACGGTTGTGAATGCTGGGCTTTGCGCGTGGAGGACGAGCGAAAACTGGAGGTATTTGACTGTCACTGCTTGAAGACCATCCTTCGAGTGAAGTTCACCGACATCGTCTCAAATGAGACAGTCCGCGTTCGCTGCGACAACATCGCAAGGATAACTCAGGCCATCCAAGAAAGACGACTGAAATGTTTCGGGCATGTTCTTCGTCGTCCACTTCAGGAGCTCAGTGTTACTACCCTTGATCCGGCACCGTTGCCCCATTGGAGGCGTCGAAGAGGAGGTCAGTTCAAAACCTGGCTCGATACAGTTCGTCAAGACATGGAGGTGGTTCTTGGACCTTTGGTATTCGGTCTACGTCGTTGGAGAAGGGAATGGGTTGAGCTGTCCAGATCTGCTGCCGCGGATCGTCACGCGTGGAGAGGTACAGTTTGTGACATCATCGAGGCCGGCTAGATGAGGCATGATCGCAGCCGTATCAAGTACAAGTAAGAAGTTGGGACAGGAGACATATTTTATAAACAACACCCGACTGCACCCCTGCCTCCAACCGATTCTTCATGTGCATGATTCTCGTACGTATCGTGGCTGTCGGACGATGTTTGATACCTACGTCAAACTCTGCGGCGATGCGGCCTATTGCATCCGATCCATTTACCATATGCCCTAAAGGGTGCTCCCCATTGACACCTCTTTCGCGTTCTTCCCTCGTGAACGCGTACGTAGGCAGCAGTTGGTGAAGTTTTCCGGTAGCCGCTCCCCTATTAATTGGTTACCGCGTCACCGTGGTTCCTGTACACGTCCCTCTGATTCGCTGCAGTACGCTTTTGTCCTAACAGCCTCGTTTATGCACTATCGAGTCCTCCTATCCACCCATCTGAGGACAGGGGAGGCCAGGGAGGGAACATTTTGGCATAGAAGTTTAACAGTCATTTTTTGTGTGAAATCGGTGCGAGAACGCTATTCGCCCAACTGTGCTGTTAAATGGTGGAAATCGGGTGGACTTTTTTCGCCATAGAAAGACACAATTCTGTTGCACCTTTTATGCTTATGTCTATGTAGGTGCCCGTTACGTGCATACAACCCAAGCCGCACGTTAGCTGGAAGCAGGACTTTGCTGGAACAAACTTCGGCTAGGATATGGTTTATGGTTGGGGTCGACTACTCCGCCTTGAACAAAAGAGCTGAACTTTGTGATTTCACAAATTTTGATCGTCCACCTTGTCACCAATTCAAGGAGGACACTATTTTTACCATTTGATGATTATAGTAAATGAATTTCATGCCCCTTTGTAGGTATTGCAATCTCGTATTTTTACTCCGGTGACTATCTTTAGACATCTTGACCACCCTCACACAACAGCCACCGGCAGGTGTTTTTATTCCTTTCTCTGGCACACACACACAAATGAATAATGCCAGTTATTTTCTTCTAGCATAATTGCTCCAGAGTAAGTAACCCCGGTTATAAACCACACTTTTGCCGAACTTCCAGTTTACAACCCTGCAGGGATTTGAAGACCTTTTTGTGTCCCCCATTCTGTTCGTCGTTCCGTGCTTTCCCTCCCGGTTCAGTGGTGAATTCTGTAATCTGCTATCACGAGCCAGCGCTAACCAGTGAGGCGCATCTCCTTGGGTGTAATGATATCAGCCTTCGTCCTCTTGCAAGCCCTCAGATCTTTCCTTATTTCTTCTGCAGCCCTCATTTTATGCGGCATGGATGCCGCTTCGCAGCATCAGTCGCATGCCTGTGGTAGCACTTGCACGACTTCTCAATTTGGCAATTTTTAAAGCCGCCCGTTATTCTGGCCGGGTTGTTCGCCGCTGTGTTTCGGCGTCCACAGATCGCAGCACTTATTTTATGCCTTCCACTGCCTCTTGCAGGGCGCTCTATGTAATTGCTTCCGCCATCTCTATGCCCCAGTATCCGGCCTAATCGCCGCAATTTCGCCAGCCCCTACCACCCATACGTGGCCGCCTTCGTACCAAGTGTCCGGGGCCGGGGCTTTGGCGGGGGTTGAGTCTTGCCTGCACACCCCCCCCCCTCCACCGAGCTCGCCACCTGCAAGCCTTTGCTGTGGTGCCGCCTTGTCGGCGCCCATCTCTCCCCGACCTAGAGCTAAATTTAACCGTCTCCTGTCAACCGCTTCACCGTCCTTTCTGAGTTTTCGATTTCTGATTGGGTCTTTTGTCCAGCCCTTTACTTTCATGTGTAACAACGCTAAAGCAGTATTCTAGTTTCCATTGGCTGACCTGCCACTGCTACCAGCAGTAGTCGTCGGCCTAAGAGCTTACAGCCGTTGGGCGCATTTTACAACCAGTGGCCTTTTAGGGTTCAAATTAAATCCCGTTTAACGCAAACAGCTGTTTGCCAGTTGGGTGTAGCTGACCTCGAATTTCAAAATCAAGGAGGCGTTGGTCGGTAATTGGGGTTTTTTGCTCAGATTATTCCTTTGCAGTGCCTCGGACGAAGAAAATAGGCTGGCCTTGCGGGTCGGAAGGGAGAAGATATCGACCAGTGGGTGGAGCTCTGAGGTAGCGCATCGGGGAAGGGGGAGGTCTGCCGCCAATCGCATCCGACGGCACATCCGCATATACTGCTTAATCTCATAAATTAAATTCCAGGTAGTACTCATAAAATTTTGCGATGAACGTGGACTATGTTTTATGCTTCATAAGGAACTAATAAACGGGCAGATAGAACGCCATTTGAGTAGACATTTCACAGTTTTGGGGAAACCTCACAACAAAAAAACTTTTTAAAATCAGAATAAATACCCTTTCTTCTAGTAGGAAATTGGGAGGAGTGATTTGCTACTAAGTGAGTGCACGAAAGGATATTTCTGTGAATGTTCTCTGAGAGTTATATTTTAGTTTATAAGGGCATCGGAAATCGATTGGAAAAGTTCACACCACTTAGGCCATCCTTTTTACCGAGTGCAGTTTTTGCAGGTGGCCGGAAGGAAGCGCATTCTGTACGATACTCAATAATGAAACCTTATTTACGTAGTCCGTCATAGTTAAACACGTTAAACATTTCATGCGATTTTTCACCGTTATCTGTCCGTTTTAATAATCCGTATGGAGTATGATTTTCAAAAAATGAAAGATGCCTTTTCCTCAAGTAGAAGATTCTAAGAAGACAAGAGAGAACATTTTCGTGCGCGTTCTTTATAAAATGTAATCGAATTTGTTAGGGCACAGAAGACTAGTGGGTCAATTTTATGCCACCTAGGTGGTCATTTTTTACACAGTGACGTCTTTGCAGACGGTAGAAAACAAACTCATTCAAAAGCTAGCACTCTGGTGTACTGCATGACGACATTACAACCCTACTTATGTAGTCTTTTGGAATCTAGAACATACTTCAGAACTTCGGTTAACATTTCAATAGATAGCACATCAATTGTATGTAGATTTTTCTAACCGAAATCGAATCGCAGAATTTCAGTTAATATGTCATGAGTAATGCACACGACAGTTCCACCGTCGATTTCGACGATGTCCACCGTGTGCCCCACAGCAGATGGTGGGAGCAGAGACGGTGACTTGCGCAGGGGTTTATAGTGCCGGTAGACTTGCGCTGCATCTACCTACACTCTCTCCTCCTCCCCGCCTGAGCCCGGTATCAAGACAGAGTCAAGAAGACTGGAGACGAAGGAGGCCGCAGGTGGATGGTTTGAACGGATCCTCGCCTTGGCGCTCTACTCCGCACCCCCTGCTCCGCACAACAAATGACCAGGATTTTGACCGCCAAAGCAGTGGTCCCAGTTGTGCGACGACTGCCGACAACAGGGTCTGCCAGCGCACCCCCTGCATGTTGACATTTGTTATTGCGCACAGATAACACCTGCCAGAATCCGATATGGCCCCCGTGTTGGTCCAGCGCATCTAACACGTGGCCTGTTGGGGGGGGGGGGGGCAACACACACACCGCCTACCGTATTTCTGGCCTGAAGGGCTCTGACCTCACTTTTAACCGTCGGTCATCTTTTTTCCCCTTTCTCCCGCAGACGTTTGGTCCTCCCAGGACGTAACAACTTCCGCGCCGTTAGCACAGCCGCCGCCGCCACCACCGTCGCACCAACAGCAGCCCCAAGCCCCCAACAGCGCCAGCCGTCAGCACAACCATCACCAGGGTGATGAGCAGTGCACGGATCAGGGACAGCCAGCCGCCTCCTGTTCCAGCACACAGCCGCCCTCCGCAGGCTCAGGCACCTCCTCCTCCCCCTCTTCCTCCTCCTCGGCCTTCAGAAACTTCCCATGCGAACCCTTTAACCAGCCAATCAGTGAATACTCCTCTCTGTCTCAGCCCTACGCTTGCCTACCCTCATCAGACCTCCCCTGACACAGACACACTAAAGAAGATGTGGAAGGGAAACCTCTACTGAGTCAAGCCGCCAGTTTTCTTCCTTGGGGGGGGGGGCTGTGGTTGGGCTCCGCTGATCGTCCGCAGGTCGTAACAGCCAGTAGTCCTGCGGTATGAAGGGGACTTGGCCATTGGAGCGGGCATTTAATTCGCACTCCGTTTCGGACTTGAATCCGTTGTCAGAGACAGCAGCGGACGCACTGTGTATGGGACACGGCCCACCTACCGAAATTAACCGCTCCCGTGGACACCGCAGGTGTGCTCATGCTTGATGCCGTGGTGTCCGAATCACTCGCATTTGTGCCCTTAAGGTCCGTGATCTCCCAGCTGGTGTTGGTACCGACTGTAATAGTTGTTCAGACAGTAGCTGACAAGTCCTGCCACTGGAAGCAGCTTTCGTCCACACTTACTGGTTTCATGAGGTTCGTCCGCACGCACACCTGCCCAGGCAAACTCTTAGCAGTGAATAGCGAGGCGTGAGGTTGCCGTGATTCTTGACCGACTTCGGGTCAGATAGCGAAAACTGGGGCGTCTTCTACCCCCTTGTGAGTATTTCGGCCTGGTAAAACTTGGCTGGTGGAATCCCGTTCCGCCCCGTGGACCGTGACATTAATGTTGACACCATCTCTCCCCGCCGCTGGTGCGTGTTCGGCTATCCGCGTCCGAAGTTATCTTTATGTTTCCCCGACGTAGTTGTTTTACCCACAATTGGGTTAGATATGATAAACGACTACAGACGTTTCTTGTCGCAAATGCGGGTATTTTGGCCTCATTACCTGAAACTTGATGGTTGTCTCCGCTCTGCGGGCCACCTCAAACCCAAGTGGCGCGAGAAGGCACATGACGGCTTCAGGGACATCCCTGACTTGTGGGATTGTTCGCTAAACTTTGGAATCGACACGGTCTGGTCTAAGCGAAGATGCGAATTCCAGGAATTAGATAATAAGAAGTAGAAGTTATCCCTGGAACAAGAGCATTATTCGCCTGACGTTTCGGGCTTACGCTCGAACCCATAATTATAGACAGTAACAGATACGGTTCGAGCGTGAATCCGAAAAGTCAGGCGAATAAAGATCTTGTTCCAGCGATTTCTTCCACTTCTTACAAACGGTCTGGTCTCTCCTTTCGCCTTCACATGCACCGGTTGATGAAGTTACGCGGATTGCCATTCGCTCTGAGTACACTTTGAAGGTACCCATCTTTCGGTTAAGGAGGTTGTGTATGATCTGATAGGGTGTCCTTGTAGTGGCAGTTGCTCCTTACGTCTAGAGCATGTTTGTGGGTGCCTACCAACATTCGACTATAGCTTCATGAGTCACCGAACCCATCGGCATACTCGCGAATAGTTTCGTCGAACACGAAGTACTTTTTGAGGCACAGACTCGGTTTACGGTGGTTTCGGACGCTTCTGTGGCGACTCCTTGTTTCATCCAGTTTTCTTCACAGGGCTTATTCGAAGGATCCTGCTGTCAGGTGATAAAAGTGCTGATTGGATTGACCTCGCGTATCAGGGTCTCTGTACACTTCTCCCCAAGTTGCGTTGTTAAACTGACTGATGTTCGAATCAGCAGTCAGGAGGTTGCGAAGTCGGAACAGCGACAGTATCCCTAAGTTGGGGCTTCTTTGTGTGATGCAGTGTATCGGAGAAAGGGGGACGCCTACTCTGCGCACGCTGAGAAGGCCATGGGTCCGACTGATGGGCCGGACCCCTCGCAGCTGCATCCTGCATCGCGCAAGCTCGGTGAGGCACCTGTCTGGGCTTTTAGCGAGCAGTCATGCTTGGCAGTACGGCGAATCTATCGACGCTTTTATACTACTGAACACATGTTGACTGGTTGTGAAAAGCACACAATTACTTTGCCGAAGTCGACGGATCTCAACTCATATACATATATTCTGTCAACTCTTCGTTCAGACTGGAAAAGGTTCGTGGCGGCGCTGGCGCACCCAGAGCATTACAACCCCCAGGTCAAGTCCTGGTTGGCGGGAGAAGACTAAAGTCACCAGGATGAGGTACTTGCTATGCACAGAATCCAATGTTACCGTCGCAGGCAGCAGTGACGAGGTGAGGTCGTGCGTTGGGGCTGTTAAGTCATACCGGAGAGAGAGATCGCGTGCGCGAAGGAGACAGGGTTGTCAGCTGTTTTTGTTGGTTTGTCGGAACTTGTCGATGCCGCCCGAGTCTCGTGATGTCATTTTGCACTGCGGCCCTAATCTAGTAGTGCGACTCACATCGTGCGCGGTCCAGGCCGCACGTGGTACGGGCAGCCACTGCGCCCCGTCCCGTCTTCTTGGTTCTGCGTTTCCACCGGGCCTGGGTTGCTAAGAGAGGAGAGGCTGAGGTAGATGCATCGAAAGTCCGTCATCACCAGTTCGCGTCCCAGCTATCGTCCTGCGCCCACATCGCTGTGCGACACATGGTGGTCATCGCTGTACGCTACGGTCGCGCCGACGAGTTACGGTCCGTGACCTACCTAACGAAATTTCAGACAAAATTTTGCAAAGCATTTTTGAATAAGAAGGACTACTTACAGTAGATGTGTCAACTCCTGAATTGTTAACAGAAATTCTGAAATGCGTTTTCGACTCAGGACGGCTACTTAAGCAGGTTTGTAATATTAATCACCCGAGATATTTCAGGCTCCTCAGGATGCTAGCTTTTGAACGAACTACATCCTGCAAAAACGACTACTTAAGTATTATGGATCCTTCCCATTAATTTTCAATGTCCTTATAAATTCAAATATCAAAAGAAGGCGAAGAGGCGTTCGTCGGGAGGGGATTATTGGAGGTCCGACGTTTCGAGTAGTTGGTTCGTCTACCCATCTTCCAACTCACAGGCCTGACTCAACAATCCGCCGGCAAGTGACGCGGCCAAAAGATCCGATCCCTAAGCAGGAGATGTCGGCCGTTGTCTACCGACTTTAATGCAGTTGTGGAAGGTACAACTACGTTGGGGAAACCGGCAGACGGCTGCAAACGCGAATGCACGAGCATAAGTTGGCCGTGCGAAGGTTGAACCCAAAGTCGGAGGTAGCCAGCCATGCCGCGCAAATGAGGCACATCTTCAACTTTGACGCCGTTGAGATTGTGAGCTGGGGCGGTGATAATACAGCAAAGCAAGTGCAAGAAGTCTGGATGTCCACCGACTGCTCTG